TACCCTGTTTCCCCAAAAATAAGACCTACCCCGAAAATAAGACCTAGTACTATTTTTGGGAATTGCTAAAATATAACACCTACCCCGAAAATAAGACCTAGTTGTGACCATTCCCAGGACCGGTGGTGGTATAAGCGGGAACTTGAAGAGCCGTGGGAGAGGCGGGAGAGAATCAGCGTTGCCAACTAAGCCAGCGCTAGAGAAAGCGAGGTGGCACTAGAGGGAGCAGAGCCGCATAAACCGATGCTTCCTCTATAGCGCCGGCTCCTGTCACAGGCGGAGTGATACCAAATGCACCCTGCCTGTGAGGAATCGATAGTGAAAGCGCGCTTCGCTCATTCTGGCCAGCGATTGTTTAGCAAATTGCTCTTGGAAAGGTACGGCACCCGATTGCCCTGATCACCATATTTTTGAACGTGAATACATGTAGACTATTGTACATGAATAAGTGTGAATAAGACCTACCCTGAAAATAAGCCCTAGTGTGTTTTTTTGAGCCCAAAAAATATAAGACAGTGTCTTATTTTCGGGGAAACACGGTATGTTTTTTTAATTACTTTACAACCCATGCAAGACAAAAGTCTTGCGAGGGTTGTAAAGTGTATGGCCACTTTAAGACTAGCTTTTCTGCAGAGCTACTTGTGTCACCACCATTTATCCCTAGTAAAAATTCACTAGGGGGTACTTGTTGCAGCATTCTGTGCCCTGATCTCTCTAGAAGACTCTCCATAGAAAAATGTATGGAAAACTAGTTTTTAACAATCAACACAAAAAGGGAAAACTCTGTATAAATTCTGCACTGACAACTAAATAAGCAAAATTCTTAGGACCCGGAGACTGCCAGATGACCCCGCTCGGAGCGCCGCCCGCCGGAGCAGCAGTGACGCTCGGCGAGGTAAGTAAGAAAACACCTGACGCTGACTCTAGTATAAGCCGAGGGGGGCACTTTTCAGCCAAAAAAATGGGCTGAAAATCTCGGCTTATACTCGAGTATATACGGTATTAATTTGTGCTTGTGACGTCTTTAATGTCTTTTACTGAGCACCTATGCATCCTGCATGTCCAATTATATATGTTCATGTATTTTATTGACCGTGTAGATCCCTCATATAATTAGTTTGCATAAAATTATTATAGGGTTTTTAATCACACTCTCTCTCCTTCTCTCAACAGCCTAAAGGATTCACAGCAGTGACCCCATAATTTTTTTAATAATACATAAAGGAAATTGTAGAATACAGGTAATGCTTTTAAACCATCTCCTTGATTTTTATAAACACACACACACGTATCTATATATATATACACATATACATATGTACACACACACACCCTCTTGGGCCAGCTCAATATTGAACCCTACGGACTAAGACAGGGATGCCATTAAAGTTCATGTGTGTGTAAAGGCAGGCGTCCCAATACTTTTAGCAATATAGTGTATGTACACACACACACACACACACACTATAAATTCTTTTTTTTCCGAGCAGAAATTTGGTCGATAGTACATCTGTTGATTCAAACATAGAACCAGATCCATATCACATGCTGAGAAAATTGAACGTTTGCAGCACTTAAAGCTAGTTTGATGGTCTGTTAAACCCAATAATGCACCAAATTTAAATGTATTTAGTAACATCTGGTCCTATATAAAAATCTGTCTAAAATTCATCAGATATATGCAATGAATAATGTGAAAATTGCACCAGCTCACAGCAACCAGACAACTTACAACTGTAAGATCCTTAAAAAGAATAATTCTTTGGCTGCTATGTGTTACTACATTTTCCCCTGCTTTACTGAATTTGCCCTGCTTTACTGAATTTGCCTATGTACCCTCTCTATTTTAGTGGAATCACTGACATAAGGAGCTGAAATCCATGTGAATCAAGATTTTAAAAAAAGGGCGCCAGGTAATCACCTTAAGAGTGCAAAAAAAAACTTTATTGGCATCACAAATGGCGGCAAGAACTACTATGCTAAGCATATCTTCTTGTCACAATTTGTGAAGCCATCGCGTAAAACCCTTTTATTAAAACAAGTGCAATGGTACTCACAAAGGTCGAGTTAAAACAGGCATGAAAGGATCTTTACACGATGGACTTAGCCAGCCGGCTGCTCGTCCTCCCTGATGGTTTACGCCTCCTTCATCAGAACCAATCTGAGTCGTGACCTCAGAAACACGTAAACCATCAGGGAGGACAAGCAGCCGGCTGGCTAAGTCCATCGTGTAAAGATCCTTTCATGCCTGTTTTAATTCAACCTTTGTGAGTTCCCTTTGCACTTGTTTTTATCTTGTTTTAATAAAAAGTTTTTAGGCGATGGAGGCGCTCTCTGTGTTTTGTTTTGTTTTGCATTGCTGAGGTTTTCCTAAAACCTAGTGAGAGCTGCCTCGTTAGCGTATTTTACCACGATCATTGAACCTGTCCCCTTTCCTGTACTCAAGCTGTTGGCGCTGTGTTATACACTGAGTGGCCAGATTATTATGACCACCTGACGTTTGTAGGCAAATTAGCTATAATTTTGCGCTGAAGTTGCTAGAGGGCCAGACCATTATAGATAGGGAAGCCAGTTGTTTACCACGACAGTAGAAGTGATTTTTTTTTCTGAAGATATGGGTTAACAACGCGATTTAACAGCCTTTGAACATGGGATGATTGTTGGCGCTCGGAGCCATGGAGCGAGTATCAGCAAAACAGCAGAATTCGTTAAATGTTCAAGAGCAGCTGTTGTTAAAGTGTTTAACCCCTTCGTGACCGGAGACGTACAGTGTAGGTCCCGTCACTTTGTGCCTATATGACTGGCCACGTACACTGTACGTGACGAGTTATATCAGGCTTTGTAATGCTGGTAACTGCTGATTCTCAGCGGTTACCAGTCATTAATGAATGCCTCACTATTGAGGCATTCATTAATTAAATAATTAAGCTTTTTGTAAAAGCTTCTTCCTTTCATTAATGAAAGAATGAAGTTGTTACATGCAAATACAGGACCGCAATTTGCGATCCTGTATTTGACAGCTAAAAATAGCAGAGAGGTAGCAGTGACTCACCTCTCTGCTATTTGTTTTGACAGCTCGAGAGCCCGATGTTTAGATACATTTCACTCAAAAGATACAATGTAGATCTTTTGAGTGAAATGTATCAGTTCTGATCGTCTAGGCACGATCAAAGAGCTTTTAGTGAGAACTGAATCTGACTAAAGTCAGGATCAGTCTCTAAGGTTATTATTAGCTGTTCCTAAGTTTGGAGCAGCCTAATAATTAAAAATGTTAAAAAAAAGTTAATCTATCAAGCTGTCATAGTGATTGCTTGATATAAACTGACAAGTTTTTTGCTGTCTAGCATCTCGTCGTCACTCACCCTTGGAAAAGGTGCTGAAAGGAAAGGAACGCTATGTGAACAAAGTCACGCTGGCTATCCACTCTTTCCCACAAAGCTCTTCTCTAAAAGCTTCTTGTGCTATTGATGAAATCCTGGCAAACATTGTGTAGATAGAATACCATATAAATAGAATTTACATAAAAATCACACCTTCTATTTTTGTGAGTTTGTTGCAGGACAAATTCAGGCTTTGAAGATGTATGAGAGAATCGAGTCCTTCAATCTTGTATATTAGGTTGGATGACAGGTCCAAATACTGTAATCGTTGGAGGTGAGCAAGGCCTTCAATCTTAAGAATGTGATTACAGTGCAAATTGATTGAATGGAGGCCTGAGTTCAAGGCAATGTTCAAAAGGCTGTTAAATGAAAAGATGTAATACACATGAAACACAGATCCAAGTTTTACATTTAAACACAGCCTCTCATAAACCTAGGTAATTCAAACTAGGCATATAATGAAAAGACACATGGACAGTGATTGAGGAGCAGAGCAGGATGGAAAATTCTGTGCGAACGAACGAAATACAGTGAATGTAGTTTTTGTTTGAGAGACTCCATTCGTTTCCAAAAACTAATCCAAAAACCAAACAAAATTTGGAACAACATTCATCAAGTCTCTGACGGCATTATCAAAGGTTCTGACAAGATTTGTCGCATGAATATTAATACAAAAATCTACCAGTGTATGCAGCTTTACTTTCTTTTGTGTTTCGAGGGCAGGGAATTAGGGGAAAGGTCACCAACTGAAAACAGGCAACAAAAAAATAAGCTTACAGGAGTTTTAACCATTCCCTACTCCCAATCTAAAACTGAGAACGTTTAGGTTAAACATACACTTTAAAAGAGAACTATTGGGAGAGTAAAATTGACTCTTATCAATAGTTAGAGTGAGTGTGACCCTGCAGCTGTCACATGCCAGCTCTATAAATCAAGAACTGAGAGATCACAAACTGCTGATTGCTCAGCTTACACCTTCTCCCTAGAGAGAGCGGTGACTGTCAGTCACCACTCCCCGCAGGGATTCCCCCCTCACCTCTCTCTGTTTCTCCAGCGCTGACAGGAGGGACAGACAGGGGAGGGGGCGGTCATGGCTGGGTATGGCTCTACAGAGGCAGAGCCAGCTTTCAATCAGGCAGTGGGGTGGATCCTGACAATATTGGGATATCGGGACCTTTCCCGGCTGTAGCTCGGCTCTGCACTGTCAGCATATAACAGACAGCAGCCTGCTGACTTTGGGTTTTACATTAGTAAATGACTCCTGTGACCCAAAAGAGAACTAAAGACAAAAAAGAGAGGGAGAGAAGTTGATTATTCTTTTATATTTTAAGTATTGCTATAGCGTTATACTCAGGGCTTCAAAAATTTTAGGGCAACCCACCAGTCAGTCAAAAATTTCACCAGTCAGCATGACCGGACTATAGCCTTGCAATTTTTGTTAACATTTTTTAGGGACAGATAGAGCTTTCTTTTTGTGGTATTTAATCACCGCTGGGGG